TCAGCGCAGAAGGCAGCGTCTAGTACAGGATCGCCGATCTGTGGATGTGGAAGCCGGAGGGAGAGGGTTGTGCGGGGGCCCAAATGATGGCAGGCTGATTGCTTCGGGCTGGCTAGGTCCTTGAGCACGCACTGCTGGTCTCCACGTCTTCAGTGCCCCGATCCCCCGCGTTCCCGAGCAGTTCTCTGGTTGAAGTAGCCGTTTGCCACTTCACATTTACCGCTTGCCTCATTTGGGACTAAACATATGTCTAAAATTCTTTTATAAAACTTTTTTCCGTCGTTGCTTTGCTCACTCTGCCTGCTCGCGATGTATGCTTGTGTGTGTGTGTGTGTGTATTTGTGCGTATATGTGTATGTATGCCTGTGCGTGCATGTGTGTGTGTGTGTGTGTGTGTGTGTGTATTTGTGTCTATTTGCGTGCGTGGGTTTGTCGGTGAATGTATTCGTGTGTTTGTATGTGTGTGTGTTTGTGCGTGTCTGTGTATGTGAATTTGTGTGTATGTTTGTTTGTGCGTGGGCGTGTTGCGTTTGTTTGCGTGTATGTGAATTTATGTTTGGTCAAAGTGGCCATTGGAGTATATTCATTAAGTTTGCTCTTCACTCTGGAAATGGTTTCGGCGTTGTTCAAGTTGATTAAAACCGCTCCACACACGCACACACATGCACAAACACACACACACACACACACACACATCTGCGGTGCATGCTAATGTCCCCGATGAGTGCGCATGTTAGCTGAAGTTTGTGGTTTGCCAGGCTGGTTGTAATGAAGGGAGGAAGTGCATTCACAAGGAGTAGCTTTTTTTTGCGGGAACACTGCGTGCATCATGAGGGAAAGTGTTCTCATGTGGGCGAGGAATAGTGAATTTGAGGGAGCAGCAGCTGACATCTTCGCGGTGAGGGCCCTCGAGTGCGGCGGGGGCTATTGCATGCTATAACTTTTGCTTCGGCTGGGCGTTCTACTGTGCCCTTTAGCAAGGCTCTTCACTGCTTTCTTCGACGGCGCCCCCTCTGAATGCGTTGCTTCTGGACGGCCCCAACCTCCGTCGTTTTCATTCCGCCAACAAGTAATCGTGCATGGCGAATTTCTTGGATGAGGGTATTTCTGAGAAATTCGGCGAAGCGAAGGACGAGGAGCAGGCGCCGGCAGAGAAAATGTCGCGAAGCATGGCACTTACGGATTTTGTTTATTTGATGCATTTGGAATTGGAAAAGTTGGTTTAAA